GAGAGAGAGAGAGAGAGAGAGAGAGAGAGAGAGAGAGAGAGAGAGAGACTTTGATTATTAAGTTTGATACTCAAATCTCCCGCTATACAACTTAGTGTCCGAGAGTGGACATCTGCCTGTTTTTTATCCGTCTTCTCGTGATGGTTCTCAGTTTGATTCCTGTTCTTCTTCTTACTCCTTTCTTTTTCTTCTTCTTCTTCTTCTTCCTCCTCCTCCTCCTCCTGCTCCTCCTCCTTTCTTGTCGCTTTTCTTCTCTTTCAGCTTCTTCTTTCCTCTGCTGCTGCTGATGTTCCTGTTGTGAAACATCCACAACACACCCATTTACCCCCCCCTGTCAACTCCCCCCCCCAAACCCCCCCCCCCCCCCCCCCACCTTTCACCACTTTCTCAGCGGTTTTGGGCTGCTCTCGGCAAGCGCAGCAAAACCCTGTTCTTAGAAAAAAGAAAAAAAAAAATTCCGGGACACTTTTCAGGCCGCCCGGTTTTGCCGGGCGGACCCCCCCCGGTCCGTCTGGCCCGGGCGGCAGCCTAGCCCAGAAAAAAATTAAAACTAAAGTGCCACATGGCGCCCTCAGAAGTGCCTTGGGCACTTCAGCTCTCCTGAACGTGGCATAGCCAAGAAACAGACAATTGTTTCTCATAGGTAAGTGGGTTCGTTTTTTTTTCTCTTTCTTTCTTTGTTTTTTTTTTTTTTTTAGATTGTAATTTGAATTTTCTTCTAGATTCTGCTTTTTTTCTTTTCTTAGATTTTTTTTTTTTTTTTTTTTTTTTGTGCTTGTCGTTTGGGTATCTGTTCGTTCTGGACGAACGGGATACATGGAAGGAAAAAAAAGCTTGACTGTGCCAGACTGTTTCGTCGGACTTCCACTGACTCATCAGGCGGTTGTGCCCCGACAACCCATCTACGGATGGGCGAATGTATCTGCCACACTAGATGGCTATGTGCGGGAGCGTCGTGGGACTCTCAATCACGATTCAGGTAAGTCGTTCTTTTCGTTTTTTTTTTTTTTTTTTACTTTGTATGTCATTTTTAGGATTTTTTAGGTTTTTTTTGCTTTTTGTTCCCCTCAGGGCTTCATGATAGTGCACAACCTTATCCGTTCGTGTTTTGAAACGGGCTGCATCAACCACTGCACGCCTGAACCTGACTGTGGCTGCGTCCGGGTACAGGCGCGCGGGGCAGGGGAATAGAAGACCCTGTTGAGATGACTGTGAGGGGCTGGCCGTTTGAGCTGCCCTCACAGGGGGAAACGAGGGGACAAGGAAGAAAAAAAAGAAGAGGGGAGGAAAAGAAGAGAAAGGGGAAACGACCGCGAATTTGGTCAAGGCTGCGGAATAGGTGCAGCCCCTAGAAGGTTCTAGGGGGTGAAGTGACTGCACGTGTTCGTTTTTGAACATGCTGCAGTCTGGCTGGGTACAGTCATTCCTAGGAGCACCTAGCCTGAGAAAATGGCCAGGTGCTTCCTAGAGTTAATGACCCTGGTTCCCTGGGGGGGAAAGCCAAGGCACCGGGCTCCTGGCCGTTGATTTAGATCGAGGGCCAGGAGCACAGACAAATTTTGCTTGCCAGTGGGCAAAGTAGCTGCCCACATGCCTTCAGCTGGCTATAAAAGCCAACACTCCACCCAACAACCTCACAATTGTGGCAGTGTTGCTGGGGCATTCACTTGTGTGCATGCTGGCTGGCTGTTGCGTGCTGTTGGAGAGGGGCGATGCTGTCGGTGGAGGTGCTGCTGGTGGAGTGGAGGTCTGCAGGGAGTTGGAGGAGGAGAAAGGAGGCAGCCATAGCTGAGGGCTGGAAGTTTTTGCCCCACACTTGTGCGTGTGCTGTGAGTGTGGGCAGGTGCTGCGGCAGTAAGGCTGCGTCAGGTCCGGACAGTGCGACAAGCGGTACCTATCTTAATGGGGTTGTGCTGCCGAACTGCCACCATGGCATCAAGACCTTCTGTTGGGGAGGTGCTGCGCGACCATCACGATGACGGCAACCATAGTTGGAGAGGTGGTGGGAAGGTGTTGTTCGTTCAACACGACGTCGACGGCCATTTTCTATAAGGTGTAGGGATTATGCTGCACATGGCAGCACTAATTGGAGAAGAGCTGGGGAGATGATGCGTGGTCTTGCTGGCGACGACAATCTTTTTGTTGACGTACTGCGGGAGCGCTGCCGAATTTTTTTGGGGGGCAGCTGTGATTTTTTTGGTAGTGACGCGGAAGCGCTGCCGGATTTTGCGGCAGCGGCACTGGTTTTAACGACAGTGGTGCGAAAGCGCTGCCGGTTTTTCACGGCAGTGGTGTTGCGGGGAAGCCGTGGTACCGGTTTTGACGGCGCAGCAAGCAGTCGTCCGTCGTTATTTTTTTGGTGCGCGACAACTATGGTGGATCCCAGTATGACCTAGAGATTGGGCTAGTGTTGGTGCACGATTGGGTCTGTGCGGTAATGATGCGTGGACTTGTGGCTGGTTGGAGAGTATCTTTGGTGGGGGAAGTACAATTGGGACTATGTTGGGGCAGCCTGGGACATTGAGACCACGCGAAAACTCATTTGTGGGAACACCCTCCTGGAGGGCTATCTCGCTTGAGTTTGTGTGACCCAACCTCTGTTCATTTGGACACTTGGTGGAAGATGAGGGCTGTGACTCAGGAAAAAGGCCACAACCTGTGGAGTTGTGAGCCGCATATTTTTCCACGGTGATTATTTTCTTCTGATTGAAATATTACCCGGCTTTCTTGAGTGGGCCGGATTAAACTTCACTCAAGGTCAGTCAGTTGAATTACTCACATTTCTTTTCACACTTGTGTGAAACCACACTTGCTTGACCCATTTCGTTTGAACGTTCAAAAGAAAAGGTAGAGGAAAGTTGTGCGAGTCATGCATGTGAATGAAAAGGTCTGACCTGAGTATGAAATTCTACTGTTTTGTTTTGAACTTGTCTTTTCGTGCTGTGCAGGTAGGTAGAAGGATGCTTCAAAGGAGTTTGATTTATGCCTATTTGGGGAAGATGAAAATATTATCTTCTTTCTACCTTTTACGTGCCTGATTGTTAAAAAAAACTTTTTGTTTTGAAAAGATTGTTCAGCGCGTGTCGTAGAATGATTTCGATTGAAATAAAGAAGAATAAGATCAAACGGACTTGGTATTCTCCCAAGGAATGACCCTTTCTATCTCGAATGACCTTACCTACCTATACCTGTCCAAATGGTTCTCATTCTCTATCTCTTCTAGTTCTTTTCATCTAAGTTACCCTGAACTTAAGAGAAATCAGAATAACTAAAACCTTTTTGCGGTGAACACATTCTTTTTCTCTAGGAAGCATCTGGGGCGGGGGTTCGTTCCTTCAGGAGCCGGCCCTGTTATCAACCCAGAGTGGACCGTCATACGGGGGGGGGGTACTTTGCCGATTCGGTAGAGACGGCCCAACTTCTGAGATCCGAGCTCTGTGTTCGGGCGAGGAGGAGGAATACCCCAGACCACTTCCTAGAGAGAGAGGCATGCAATACTTTAAGCAATGCTCCTGATCAAGAATCATCCGCAGAACAACTTGTCATCCAAGAAGATTGAGAGAGTATGACGACAGGTGTGAGCGCGTATAATCTTCGGTAGGCTGAAACGAATGACTTTGGCAACGCGTCTCATCAAGTCAAAACTAAGGCATACCGAATACCTTATCGGTTGCATCAATGTTATTGTGGGTAGCCAATTGCTTGATGGCGGTTGTATGATTGTTTTATGGAGTTTGACCTAAGGTGGTCGAATTTTATTTCGATCTTATGATATTGAATGTATTGTATGATGATTTAAATTCTTTTGGTAACCTTTTCAGATTGGATATATTTTTGTCGACTACTGTCGATTTTTTTTTATGTAATTATATGTGGTTGTTGTAACTTTCGCTTGACTATGTGCAAAAGGGACTAGGATTAATGTAGGGTTTCACGCTTGGTTGAGACCGTCCTAGTCGACCGGCGTTTGCTCCGCACCTAGGAGATCAGCGCCCTCGGAACGGATGACGTTCGGGTCCTCTTGGCGTCAACCAAGCGTATCTATACTACAGCGAACGAGCAAACGCTCTCGGCTGATCTACCTCTGCGATTGCATTTAAAAACTTTCGCACGTGGGTCAGTAGCTCGGTAGGGATACACCTCTAAAGGTGGTGACAACCCCTTAGGGAAGGAAAGTTTATGCCCCGCAGGAACCTATCCTGTCGTAGGGGACGGTGGGATGTATAGTTGGCGCACCTGGCTAGAGAGGCGAGGGGACGACGCGACCACGACCATCTTGGCGGCTCGCGGGATTATTTTGCGTCGTTCCAAAGTTGTCTCTTGGTTTTGTTTTGTTTATTTCCTGTGTGACATGGTCGGCGGGGCTTTCGCATTTGCGAAAAAGGCGGGATCCGATGCGCTCGACAGCGTTGCCCTGACTTCCCAACTTACGGATCCAGCTCCGACTTCCCCCACCTTAGGAGTCATTTGCATGATTCCCTTACCCATCACTTTTTC